ATTACAGTGTTCCCATTTCGGGCTGTTGTTCCCATGACGGCCGCCAGAAGACCTGCACAACGGAATGTCGCGCGGGCTTTTGGCGGCATGTTTTGGGTGACATCAACCCCGTGACTTCGTGGCGAAATGTCTCCCACGCTTGCAACCGTAATCGGAGCCAAGCAGTTGCTGGCAAATCTTGCGCGAAGCGTCCCTGCTCATACACGGTTTCCTTGCACCACAGTCGTGCCTGCCCACCAACCGTCACTCCACCACAGTTGACTGAGCGGCCTTCGCGCTGTGTGGCAGGCAAGGCATGCCGGCCAGCTCGGCCGCTCATTTGTCTGCGGCCTGTTTTCTCTGCTGATGTGTCACAGCGCAAATCCGGGCCATGTGGGGCTCGTTTTTCCCGCGTCGCCGGCGAACCCGCGGCGACGCTCCCATGCATCTGGGGTCGGCCTGGAACGCGGCCGTCCCCTCCCTTCAAGGCCGTGCTCACACAGGGGTCTGTCTGGAGCGAGAGCGGCCTTGGTCCGGCGGCTCCGCCGTGTCGCGCATGAACCGCCAGGAAGGAGGCGCCGCCGCCCCGGCCCTGGGGAGGTGGGGGAGACCGGAATTTCTGATGAGTCCCGCTCCGGGGAAGCGCCAGCCGTCCTCATGACCCAGGCTCGAGGGAAGAGGCGGTGCATCGGACACCGCGCGGCGCCGCTCAGGTGGCGCCCAGGAGAAATGCCCTGACTCGACGGCCAAGGCTGCAGCTCGGCGCTCGCGGCGTGCCGGTGGGGACACAGGCGCGCCGGGCGTCTGCAACCGATGGCCGCGGCCGCGGGCGCCGGGCGCAGCTGCCGCCACGATCGTGACCCGGTGACCCGGCGGCCGAGAGCGGCGCTGTGACGGCCGGGTGATGCGTGTGCCGGCAGGCCGGCGACACGAGCTCGTCAGCCGCCGGGCCGCCGGGCGGCCGCGTGACCGGCACGTGGCCGTAATGACGTCCGCCTCGGCCGCCGTGGCGATGCGTCGTCGCTGCACCAACTGTGGGACGGCGCTCGTCGTATGGTTATGCTCGTGTGATGGCGGCTCTCTGTAGGCCTCGGTGGACACGCAAGTGAGCCATGAGCAGCGCGACTCGTTCTGACCGTCGGCTGGTCGCCGGGATACGGGCGGAGTGTGATGGGCGCAGCGTGCAGGGCAGATGATATTGCCGTCGCCGGTGAGGCCTCCCTCGTGTACTAGGTTCGGCACGGGTCAACAGGCTGCCTGGAGTTCGGCCTGTTGACGCAAGCAGTGCGCGGCCACGTCCTGCTCATCGCCGAGCCGTGTCGATGGCTGCTGTGCCTGCCTCCGGTGAAGACGCCCCGAGGAGCCAGTGCTGTAAAGCGATTTGAGTTGTAGGGCGCGCTGACTTTGTTGGTTATACAGCACCACCCATGTGATACACAAATGGAGAAACAAGCATGCGATATTGGATGTCACTAATGAATATTGTCCATCGTACACAGTTATCTGTGTAGCAGATGAGAACGAATAACGACGCATCGTGTGGAAGCATGACGGTCAGCTACGCTTTGCCATTTCGTAATGATGGCCGTAGGGCGCGCTCCGCCCTCGCCTCGTCGCCAGCCTGGCTAACGACGCCAGCGAGGCCTCTCAGCCCATGACTCGCGGCGGCGGCGGCGTGCTGACCGGCCGGGCCGGGTGGGAGCGGCCCCGCCCCCTGCCGCCGCCGTGACCCAGTTCACGGGCCGCGTCAGCCAACGGCGGTCCCACCCCGTCCCCCTCCGCCGGCCCCCGGCCCGGCAGACGAGAGAGAGCCAGCCGCCGGCGGCGGCGGCCGGTGGCGACATGAGGTCGGCTGTGCGTGCTGGTGGTAGGGTTGGACGTGCGAATTGGCACCGGCAGCACGGGGTAGATCTCGGCTTAATTTTGTTGGAGGCGGGGACGAATACATTTTTTGTGGCTTTGTGGAACCGATTTTTGAAGGTGTGAGTGGGGGTCGTTGAGTCAACCTGTTTGAGTGGAGCCATTAGGAAGTCGATTGAAATATACATGTTTTCACTCTGTTGTTATTGATAATGCTCAGATATATACACAGCACGTCAGATAGTGCTTTCCCTGCTCTATGAAAATATACGTTAAAAGCTTACTTGTCATCTTATAGATCGGTTTATTTCCCAGCACGAGGTCATTGGACTCGATTTAAATGGATTCAAAGTAGAGATACATCCCGTTGCGTCGTAATAGGAGTCGACTCTGGAGTTGATTGTGCCCATCTGCTCACGGAGCTCGAACCTGCGGTATGTGTCGTGGGGCGGAGTCTAATCCACCCTGTCGGGAGGAAATCAGACATTCGCCGCGTGGGAGCGAGGCTCGGTCTGACGCGGCGAGGCCTTGGTCGCCGCCTCTGCTCCTAGTCATCTTTGCTTTCAACGGCACGTTGTGATCGGGGACGACACAAAAAACAACAAAAAAGCAAGTTACAGAATGGTTTGTCGAAGCGGTCAGGGCCAAGATAAAAAACAAACAAAAAAAAACAGCTGAAATACAAGGCCAGTGATATAATTTTGCGTATGGGTTAAGGTGCCCGAGCCTGGCACATTGCAAACTAAATCATGCTGCGTGCTCCTAGTGGATGTTGGGCTCAAGGTGGTTGAGTCAAAAGGCCAGGCATGGTTCCCGGGAGACCCAAAGCTGCATTCATTTTCGTGGGGCTCAGCGAAATTTTCCCCAGACAGTTTGTTTCCGCTAAAGTCATTTGGCTCAAATCAAATGAAGAAGGGATATCCAGAAGTGTGGTTTGCCTCGTCGTTTGCCTGGTCGTGCGCCTGGGAAACCAGAGGTACGGGGTTCGATTCCCCGCGGTGCCCGCTCTTCCCGCCGGGGTGAAAGACAGGCGACGCCATATAGGCTCAGCAACTGAGTGCGTCGTAAAGCCCCAATGGCATGACACGACATGCCTGGTCGTGGCCAGCCGCCAGTTGCCGCGCCCATGCCGGTGCGAGCGTGGTCGGCGCGTGGCGACCTGCCGTGTAAGGACGGAGCGCTACCTTTGCAGTGTTTCGTGAAGGCGTCAGCTCCACGTCGCTACACTCGTAATAGCGGGCCGATACGGGCTTGGTGTGGATGGCTGTGAGTGCTCGGGTTGGGTTGGCGTGATTTCCAGCGCTGCCCAGCCAGGCCGATTCGCATTGTCCTTCCAGACCGAAGTTAGTGGAGTGGTTGTGAAATGCCTGAACGCACGCCAGCACGAAATGTTTCCTTCTTTTTCATGAGCCCGTGGCTTGTTACAGTTAGTTTCGTGTTTCTTGGACAGCTCCGCGTGTTTCCTGAGATATTGCGCCATGTACAAACAATGCCCGTTATCGGCTTAAACCTGATGGCTGACAACAAGCTGGAAATCATGCCACTTCTTGGCGGCCAATGCGGTCGGAGGGTATGCTCGAGTCATGGAGACGCCCGCTGTTCCCCGTGATATGTATCTGCGTACCGTGCCGTACATTTGGAGCGGGGTCTTTCTCCTTTTGCTCCCTCCTGGTCCCTGTCTCACCCCGCGCAACCTGTGCCTTACGGGCTGAGGCTTTGCAACTCCTGTGATGCCATTCTGCCTTCTGCCCATTTTTGTTTCACCGGTTTCTGGTGGCAGGCTTCTGTTTGGACGTCCAAACGACCACTGAAAAGTAAACAGCCTTGAGTTTTACGGAAATAAAGTCATTGTCCCCTTTCCCAATGGATGGGGACTTGTCACAGTCGCCGCACGGTGTTTACTTGCGTCTATGACTTTTCATATTGACCGCTTCGCGTTTGAAGGGACGTAAGTGCGCAGGGGTGCCAGTTCGTCGCACGATTTGGGAAGCTTAAGCCATCAACGCAGACGTGCGGTTAATGCTCCATCAGCTGCAAGGAAAAACAAAGCAGTTATGGCCCACAGCCTCCCCGCCTCTATGGTCCGTCGCTCATGCGAGTGCGTGCGTCAGGTATTTCGTAGCTTTCGGCGGAAGTCACATGGTTGACTCAGACTGGGGCAAGCGGTATCTCTACCTTGTGGCTTTGCGTGTGGACGTAAGGCTCCCTAATTTTGGAGGCTCGCACGCTGGCGCCGAAACTCACGCGCAGCCGGACGGGCGCGCGTCGGAATCCGTGCCTTCTTCCTTCTCTGTTCCCTGTCGCCCTGAGACAGCCGGGACCTGCTGTCCGAACAGATCGGCATCGGCCGCCTTGCGACATGTCCGTGACCTTAGGCTGACCGCCGTTGCGAAGCCCTTGCGTGCATTCGTCCGCGCTGCACCCCTCCGTGCCCCCGGCGGCAGCTCGCACGCTCTGAGTCGGGCACCCGCGCCCGCCGGCGCCTCCTGTGACCACGCAAGCCGGCATCTTCGGCGTCCTCCGTCCGTCCATGACCTTCCCGCGTCACCATCGATTGAAGTGCACCCCGCCCCCCTCGGCCGACGCGCCGCCGAAACCACGTGCGCTCGCCGAGCGGCAGCCGCGGCCCGCGGTCACCAGGCGGCGCCACTTGCCGGACGTGTCGACGGGCCTGCCATCTATCGGCCGTTGGAGAAGCGGGTCAATTGGCCGGATTGTTTATCGACACATGCGTGCACTGCTAATATCATTGGCCGCCCGGCACGTCGCTCCGGCTGTCATGTCGTGGACAGCGAAGTGTTCCTGATTTACGCGGTTGGTGTGCGAGGGGTCGGGTGGGCGACACGAGGCTTATGTGTTGTATTAGACCGCGGCTTCTTTCGATAATACTGGTATGATGTTCCAAACGTGTCCATTCAAAAAAATATTTTTAACAGCCTTTGCAATTACTGACGTAGCGCTCCAAAGGCTCTCAATCAGCGACGTGATATCGATTGTATCGACTGTAATATCGGTGTCATTTTTAGCTTGCCCACATGACACATCGATCGGGTCACATATAGCGTTCTGTCGTGACGCGGTGCGCGTCCGGCCGCCGGTGGCGGCAGGTCCCCGTGACGCCCCGCGGCCGCGTCCGCTTACACGCCTCCCTCTGTCGGCAGACTGGGCCATGCGGCGGCGCGGCCTCTGAGCTCGCCACGCTGGCTACCGTGTCGGTGACATCGCTGGTGCAGGGCGCCCGCCGCGGCGGTTCGCCGCTGGCGGTGGGCGCCCTGTTCCGCGCGGCGGCGGCCGGCTCGCCGCCGCCGGCCACCCTGCTGAAGCGGGACGCGCTGCCGGCGCCGGCCGAGCCGCTGTCCGGCCGGCGCGCCGACGAGTGGCTGCCGTCGCCGGGCCAGGCCGGCCACGAGGCGGCCTCGCCGCGCGGCGCCGGCGCCGCTGCCGCCGCCGGGTTCGCCGTGTCGCCGCTCTCCAACAGCAGCTGCGACCCGTACTCGCCGCCCGCCAGACACGGTGAGTGGTGCGGCGGTGGCGATGGGGCGCGGCGGGCGGCAGGTCACGCTCTGCCGGGCCTGGTGAAGGTCGGTCGCACGTGGTGAGTGGGTCGGACATGATGAGACTGGATGGGACATGGTGAGAGTCGGCGGGGTATGGTGAGAGTTGATCGGACATGACGCGTCGGCTGGACAGGGTGAGAGTTGACGGGGCATGGTGAGGGTTAAATGAACACATTAAGTACGCTTTGTGTCTGTCGTACATGCTGAGTGAGGTCTCCGTGGGCCGGACGCGGCTCGTTCGCACCGCGCACCATGCCTGACGACACTTGCGAACTGCTTCTCACTGTGATGTGAGGTGTGCTCGCCGCAAGCCAGTATCCGTGCTGAGCTCACCTCGTCGGTTCGACATGGTGAGACTGCCCCGTGCTCACCGTCGGTCGGATGCGTTGCTCACTGCCCGCCAGACGCTCTGATGTGTCCCAGTGAAGGCAGTGGATATTGCTGCGACGGTAGCCACCCTTGGTGGTTGCCAGATGACCGCTATTGACCATTGCTGACGGGGTTGGAGTTAAGTAGACTTGGCGGGCTGAGCCGGTATAAATGGCTAAACCGCCCTCCCCCCCCCCCCCCCACCACCAAAAAAACAAAAGCTGGTTTCTCCACTCATTTGAGCAACTTCCTCCAAGACTGGGAACCTCCCCGCCAACTGAATAAGAAACTACACCCTTGGTCGCCGGTGTCCCATTTCAGTCATGCATCTAATGTTCTCCACTCATGATGAAATCAATCAGCACATCAATGAACGAACCGATTGATCGACGGCTCGTGTTATGTAACGGTGCCAATGGTGCATAAGAGATGCATTTTTCACCGCTCCGAGAAGATTTATTTGGCGGGCAATGTTAGCAGCCCCTGAGTGCGCTGTTTCTGGTCTCTTTTGCATATAAAGTCTACGATCAGAGATCAGATGATCGGATTCGATCGTCGTCAGAGGATCATTTAGAAACGAGTACATAGGTACGCTTGCAGTGTATTGCACTGAGTCTTAACTGGTCACCTCGTCAGCATTTCCAGATTACAGAGCATCATCCTATGGTCTGAAGTTTGTCTATGTAGGCCATCACTATGTCTGGTGGCCTATGAATACGCGCTGCCACCGACATGCCTGTGGCCAGCCAACACGCCCTGTCTTTTCTCGTGAGGCGTCTGTCTTCGGTGCGTCCGTCCGGTAACGACGAGCGTCCCATCTGTTGGCCGCGCATGAGCCGGCCCTGGCCGTGGGTGCCGCCCCGCGCCCCGCCGGTGGCGGCCGGAGCCTGGCACCCGCCGGACCACCAGCGGCCGGAGCCTGGCACCCGCCGGACCACCAGCGGCGACCTCGGACCACGTGTCGGCGCCGACCCTCCGCGGGGTACGCCGCGCGGACCGGCGGCCAGCTTTTTTGCGCAGGGGATGTTTCTACTGGGGCGATATGGTATCCGGCGGCGACGGCGTGGCCGACGTTTTTATCGGCGACAAAAAGCGACGACGGGGACGCGGTGGAGGGGGCGATTACAGGGTCGGCCCGGGGGCGGGGCGGGTCGTGTTTCCGGCCGGGTTCGCGGGGAAAGGGGACCGCGGGCCGCTCGACCAGTCCCTGTCAGCGGCCCTCTGCACCGGTCAGAGCCCACACAGTTTTTTTCGTGGTGGTCGATAGATGCGATGAACTCTTGATATTGTGGAATCATTGATCCACCTCGGCCTTCGGTGGACCTCGCGGCTTTCCGCCAACACAAACTATTTGACGTGGCGACGCAGAGATGGCTGGAATTGTCTGTTAACAGGGAGCCTTCTGTCTCCGTAATTGAGTACGGTCCCTCCATAATTTGCTTTTTTGCATTACGTTGTGTAATTGTGAAAGAGCTCCCACCAGCATCGGGTGGCATGTATGGGTATTCCATGCTGTTTATCCGCGACGTTTTTCCGATTGTTACAACCAAATACCCAATTGTGATGGTCCTCCCCGAACGCGTGCCTCGCTGCGGCCCCGCTGGCCCGTCAGGGCGCCGGCTAATGTTTCAGTGTTGACACAGCCCGGGGGGGAGGAGGGGGAGCACGCGAGGTCCCGGCCCCGGCGCGGCGTGCCGTGGCTGCGGCGTTTCCGGTGTGTTGTTGCCCGTCCCCGGCGTCCCGTGTGCCGGCTTTGTGCACGACAATGCCGGCCGGCTGCGAGCCCGTCACGTGTGTTTGCGGCGGGACGACAGCGCTGCCGGTGGGCCGGCAGGCCGACGGCCGCCCGGCACGTGGTGTCCCGCACCGGCCCCGGACGGCTCGGCGCCTGGCACTGCACCTGCGCGGAGCAGTCCGCCGCCGCCGCCGCCTTCTGAGGCCGAGGCCGAGGCGGAAGCGGAGGTGCACGGGGTCCGTGAACCGTGGGCCCTCGTGATGACATTGTCGGACGAGGGTGTAAGCGGCCTGCCGGCACCCCCAGACAGCGAGGGTGTGGCTCGGCTGGCTTTCCTCAGGCGGCGTGACCTCCTGCGCTGGGGTGGGCGGCCCCTTGGAGGCGTGCCTGTGTGGCCTTGCCGAGGAATGCGCTGCGGTCTGTTTGCGTCACGTAAACGTCACGCTCATCGCATTCCTGTGTCGTCGCACGCCGGGACGGTAACTGTTAGCCGACATCACTTACAGGCGTTGGTTTACGTATGCTCGGTGGCTTACGTTGATTGCCGTTTCATGTCAAAACAGTCCTGAGCTTAGGGAAACATCGGAACCGGCGCAGCTGTCAAACAGCTGGTATGATTGTACAGGTATTTGCCATCTGACGTCTGGCCGTCCGTTCAGGCAAGTGCCTCTGCCTTTGGAACAGAGACTCATGCAGTGTATCGAGAGTGCAGTTGGGCCCGTGTAAGAGAGGCTCAGTGCGACAGACCCATAGTAATAGAAGATCAGTTACTGTGACAGAGCCATTATGATAAAGCTCCGATAGTGTGACGAAACCATTGTTTTAGAGGCTCAGATAGTGTGACAGAGTCATTTTAGTAGAGGTTTAGGAAGTGTGACAAAGCCATTGTAAATTAGGTTCAGTTGGTGTGACAGAGTCATTGTAATATAGGCTCGTGTAATATAGGCTCGGTTAGTATGACAGAACCATGGTAATAGAGGCTCAGTTAGTGTGACAGAGCCATTGTAATAGAGGCTCGTTGAAGCAGAGCCGGTGAAAAATCTGGTGTGGCCGGGCCTCAGCTGATGTAGCATGCGGAGTGTAACAGAGGGTCCGCGTCTTCAGCGTGCCCGCGAACAGCCAGTGGAGAGCTGACGCTGGATGTGAGGCGTGCAGACATTCGCTGCACGGGTGGGAGGGGACGTGGGGTCAGTCAGGCAGGCGATATGCTGCGCAAGATGTGGTGCCGGTCCGTGGAGAGTGGACAGGGTCATGCGATTAATCCCACCAAATCCGAGCTGACTGGGGCCACGGTCTCGTTCCGTGCGACCTTCATAGAGGTCACGGAGTTTGTTGTAGCCCGTCTAAGGTAACGCGGTATGTGAGCTCCCGGGAGGAGCCGGCGAGAGAGAGAGAGAGAGAGAGAGAGAGAGAGAGAGAGAGAGAGAGAGAGAGAGAGAGAGAGAGAGAGAGAGCGTGATGTCCCCGCCCTCTCACACGGCCCCGCCGTATCTGGCAGGCGGAGCCCGCAGGTGGGCTGGCCGCCGCGCCGGTCGGGCCGCCGCGTTTTTGTCGGTCGTCTGAGTCAGCCGGCGGGTCTATTCTGGGCTGGCAGGTCGCCGCCGTCCACGAAGAGAGACGGCGGCCGTCGGTCTGCAGCCGCCGTCCAGACCCCGCACAGTCATCGCTATCTTCTCGCGTCGGGAGCCCTGCGGCGATGATGATTACGTGCTGAATGGGTCTCGCTCGCAGGGTGCTTTGTTTCTCGTTTAATGGTCTGGGTGTGCTTTCACTCATGTTCATCCATGTTTCGCTCATGCTGCTTTTGCGTTAGATAAGCTGAGCGCTCGGATTAAAGAATTGATGTCGGATTGCGTGGTAAATTATCTCTTTCGACTGGCACGAAATGCTAAGTGGACTTTGTCTCAAGTAGTTCGCGGTTTTTGTTTCGTTGTCTGGTCCCAAATTCCCAGACAGAGACCTTAAACTTGACCGAGCGTTCCGGGCAGACTGCCAGCGGTCGTACGTGCGGAAAGGCTGGCGTGGTTTCTGATTTGACCCAGTCGTATTTGGGTGCACGTCTCCACGCTGCCAACAGACCCTCCATTGTGGAAGACGGATCAGCCACGTGCCTGCTGGCGAAAACTAGTGGTTACATTTCCTGTCAAGAGATGGCGCGGCAAATCGTCATCGATGGGCGGGCTGAGTGCCAGTTTCTGGAAGCCGCGTATTATACTTCGATGTTGTTTTTCAGCTCATGTGGTAGATTGAAGATGTCTTTATACTTCTTTTGGTGTAATTATTTGCCTTAAGTGTTGCATGAGCAGGAACTCATCAAGAAGGCGTTTGTTTTCACGGGCGCAATTGTATGCAATGAATAAGGGAAGCAGTGTGTACTCGAATAAACTTGCTTACCCTTTTGAGCTTTGGTGATTTTATAGACGAGTGAGGATCATGTACCGGAGCAAACATCTTTTACTCTCTGGGCCTTTGGTGATCATATCGAGTTTCGAGATTCCAGTGGGGAGGGGATCGTGACGAACGCCATCATGGTTGCGCACTTTTCTGGACCCTGAACGCATGCAAAGC